TTTTTCCCCGCCCAGGGGCCATGAGGAAGAGGAGCAGTCACAGCCAGAGGCCGGCTCCAGCAGTAGTCAAGGTGAGTGCTTCTCTCTCGGCCTGGTGTCTCATCATGTCTCGCTGGCCCTGGGTCTGACCAGCTTCAGTGTTGGGCGTCCTTCCAGTGCTCTGGATCGATTGGAATCCCCCCTCTACCTTTGTCCTCCCCCTTTCCCCCTTGGTGTTAGCTTGGAGCTGTGCTGCAGTAACCAAGGCCAGTGGTGAAGTGTCTGCGGGCCTGACCGAGATGTGCTGTCTGTCACTTATTGATGAAGGGGAGGTTGACTTTGGAGAACTGTCTCCTATCACTTGCAGCCATCCTGGGTCTTCAAGCCAAAAGCTTGCCAAAAGGCAAGCCTGGCTGCATTCTTTATGTAGTTGCTGATCAAAACACCCACTGCACCATTCAGCTGGTGGCACTTAGAAGAACAAGTTAGGGTAGAGACAAATGGGGAAGATCCAGGTTTGGACCTTCTGAAACATCTCCTCTTACAGAGAACAAGCCTTCACCCAAGGAGCTGGAGGAGCTGGAACTGCTGAACAGAGCCTTAGAGAAGGCATTGAAAGTCAGGAAAAGCATCTTGAAAACTCCATTAGAGGCCCAGGGAGCTACAGGAGAGAAATCTGCAGGTGAGGGACCTACTCCCAAGAATGCTGAAAAGCAGCAAGTGCCTGTACCTGTTGAGGATGTTCTTGTAGACACAAAAGTGAGAGCTGTAAGCAAAAAGCCTGCTTCTTTGAAGAAGCCCTCTCCATACCAGCTAAAAGCCCCTTATAGGACTGACTCAGAGGTGAAAAAAATGCAAAGGAAAGCCCTGCCCAGATGTGTTTCTCGAGGTGCCAGGACAGCTGAGAAGAGCTCCTCAAAGGGGGTGGTTTGCAAACAAGGAAGGAGTCCTAAGAGAGCAGCGAGTGCCAGTGACAGAGAGGTCTGTGCTCCAGCTGAACCCCAAAAGGCACCTGGCTCATCCAGATCTGCCCTGAATGCGCAGCAAAGCTTTTCTATAGGGGATTCAGCTGGGGAAACAAACTCTGTAGCTGCTGGCAGGCAGTTACTTGATACAGAGAAGAAAAGTTGTGGTTTCCTGGGAGAGTCCAGCAAAAAGGAAAACCCTGCAGCTGAAGGAGCATTGGGAAGGAGCACCTCACCTCGGAGAGTCACCCTGCAGGAAAAGGGGTAAGTGCTGAGAGATGGGCACTTCTGTCTTGTTCTGCTTGACACTGACTAGCAGGTCTGCGAAGCCTGGTCTCTCCTGCTGCTCTGTAGGCCCCTTGTTTTCACTGCTCCCCCTCAGATCCTCCTCAAGAAGAAGGATCCTCTACAGAAAAGCCTTTATTGTGATTGAGTAAGTGTTTTCATTTTAAGGGCTTACTTTTGGATGGCTGGGACTCTGAATGTCTTTAATTAAGACTTGTTGGTATTTCACAGCCCCTTACGATTGTTTTGGAAAGCTGCCTCTGTAGAGCTTTCTCAAGCCTTAGTTTTCCTCTGAGTGCGCTTTCTAGTGTAGCTTAGTGGGGGGTTTTTAAAGTATTTTTTTCCTTTTTTGCACAATGATAGTACATAATGCAAGTATATTCTCTCTATCATATGTCCAGTGCTGTTTGAAGTGATGGCATCTGGGTTTAATACTGTCCCTTTTAACCTGTAAGATACTGCCTGTGTAAATACACAAATCAGTATTGACTGGTATGCAGTTGTTTCAAGTGCTTGGTGTAGGAAGAATGATGGATGTTACCAAGGTACTTAATAACAGTGGAAAAGTGGCAAAAGAATACTTGGAAGATTTGCATTGCATTTAGACCAGTCTGTCTGTGTTGAAGTAATTTCTGTGTTCTTTTCTGTCTACTCTTTGCTTTAAAGAAAAGTGAAGTTCTGGCCTGATACGTGTCTATCCCTGGAAGATTTTAAGAAATAGCTTTCAGCTGCCACAACCCAATTCTTGTGTTTGTGCAGGGAGGGAGTTATCATTGTTCACATGATATTGGAACAGACACGGGGTGCTGAGTGACAGTTGCTGGGTGAACAGGAATCTGGATTCAAATGTTTAATTACTTAGTCCCAACTGTGGTCTTGTGTTCACAGTCTGCACATGACTGTAGCTATAACTGCCAACCCACATGTTTTTGCAGTAACAAATTAGAGATTGGCCTACTTTGGGATTAAGATGCATATTCCCTGTGGAAGCTGAAATATTCCTTTCCTGTTTCCTTGAGTGTGATATGGTGCTAAGCAAAGCTGCCTCGTGCTCAAGTATAGCAGCAGAGTCAGTCTGTATGGATCAGCTTCCCTGAACAGGTTGTTTCTATATCTGTACTCTGCCTTACCAGAGCTTTGTTCCCAGCTCCTCACTTTGGAGGGACCTCTGAGGGCTGGTGCTAGGCTGCAGGAGCTCTCCCAGACTGGCTCAGTAATGCTTATGGAAGTGAGTAAGCAGACTGATCCTCCTTTCTCCTCCTTCCGTGAGGTCAGCTGAAGGCAGTGGTGGATTCCATCTCCAGGGCTGCTGAGGTCTTCAGCTACAGCTTAAATTAGACAAAATGTCATTTTCTCTATTTTGAAGACAAGGTTCAACTGCTCTCCAGCAGTCAAGATTGATGCTTCTCTCGTTTTGCAGGTGCCAGCTGAAGCTGCCCCTTTCCTACAGGAAAGCCTATTTCAGGAACTCCAGGTAAGCCCAGCCTGAGCAGTCCAGAACTACCCCCTGCTTCGGGACAGTGAGGAGGGCTCAGGTGGGGGAGACCTGGCTGGTTTGTGGGTCACAGGGAGGTACTGATTCCAGTGTGTGGGGCCTGAACCCAGGGCAGGAGAGCGGCCCCATACACCATGTCTCTGCAGGGCTGTTTCTGAGGATACGTGTGCTCATGTTATTCACTAGAGGTAGTTTTGTTTTCAGAGTGCCAACGCCTATTAATCCCCCAGTTGTAAGAGTACTGGAATGCTTTAATCCTGGGTTTAACAGTGCTGCAGAAGTCTCTGCTGCCACTGTATACTTGTTGAAGGCAGGAAACCCTCTGGGGTGGGTGCCACCATACCCTGTGCAGTGTTTTTCCCAGCTGGTTGCAGACCTGAGCTGCTCTGCTGGGGCAACTCTCTAGCCTGAAGCATCACAGTTGTGTTTGTTTGAGGT